CTTGCCCCCACCACCCCCCCAGCCCCATGGGACCCAGGCAGGCCAGGAGACGCTGCTCTTTGCTTGCTGGTGCATCCACCCCAGCTTAGTCACGGAGGTCTTTCAGTTGAAGTTCACCCCCAGGTCAGTTTTATTGCACTTTTATTTACAGGAAACACAGAAATAAAGCATTAAATGTGTTGGGCTTTTACCAAACCACCCAATCACTTTTTTCCCTTTTTTTTTTTTTCCCCTCTTTTGTGGGTTTTTGGCACAAAGAAATATCACAGGTGTTACTAAACAACCATGTATCAGCAGCTGCCCAGCCCAGCAACAGGACTTAAACAGACAGACGTGTCACACCGAGATCAAAAATGAGAAGGCTGTTCCATGTTCAGCTTCCAGGCTAACCTGCTCATTGGGGACAAGGGGAGTTACTCTGTTTGGGATGACACCATTCATAAATTATATTTATATTTACCTCTTACATTGTAAAAGTAAACAGTGCAAAAGTACAGTACCCCAGGTACCCTTCGGTTTGGAAAGCTTGAAGGTTGCTTTTATACATTTTGTGTGTTTTGTAAACATAGTTACCCATCCACAGTTCTAGCTCTTGCTTGGAGAGACCCGACTCCTCTTGCGTCCGAAACATGTTGAGGGGCAGCAATTGCTTCCCCTGGACTCTTTTTGAGATTCCCGCTCAAGGTTTAGTGCAAATTTTGGAGAGAAAAAGACAAGAGAAAGGGGGGGGAAGGGGGGAACAAAATGAAAGAAAATAAAATAAGGCAACAGTTAGAAACAGTCTGTATCAAAACCAGGACCCCCCGGGGCTTCCTTAGGAGAAGGGCAGGAAGTCTCTCTCCTCCACCAAGCTGATGGAGAGGTTCTTCAGCTCCTCCTCCGAGCTGGCGGTTTTGTAGCCAAGCTGCGCCAGCACCTGCTGGCAGGCGTGCTGGGTGAACGCCACGATCTCGTAGGACAGCCGGAACCGCCACTTCTCCGCCGTCGCCGCTGAGTTGCGCACCGTCCCGTACTTGTGTTTGGAGGAGGACCTGTCCCCTCGGGTGTTGTTCTGTATCCAGCGCTCGATGTTGCTGTCCATGGGGATGCCCAGGAAATCGTAGATCTCCTCAGTCTTTTTCATGGGGTTCCTGGCCAGGTCTTCGTAGCGCACCAGCATGTACTTGCCCTTGAGCCACGGCGGCCGGTTGAGGCCGGTGGACACAGAGTTCCAGAAGTCCTCGCACACCGTGGTGAGCTGGGTAACGTCCAGGTTGTACGGCTTCCTGCCGGTGCCGTCCCAGATCCTCCACAGCCGGTAGGTGTCCCGGAAAGTCTCGCTTCGGGATGCCAGGATCCCCCGGGGGTCCCTCACCAGCTGGATGACCTTCAAGTTCAGTCGCGGATCCTCCACCAGGGCCCGGAGGTCACTGACCTCCGGCACCCGCACGGTTTTGATGGCCACGTGCCCGTGCTCTCTGCAGGACTCGGTGGCCAGCGTCAGGTTCAAGGTACCGCACTTCTTCACGCAGTCTCCCTCCTCCAGGTGGAGATCGATGGCTCCCAGGGACTCGCAGACGGGTGGCGAGCACAGGGCCTTGCTGGCCCCCCTGCGGAAGAGGCGGTCGGTGGTGTGGTTGACGGGCTGGGGTTTGATGTAGTTCTCCAAGAAGTAGAGGTCGCAGTCGTACAGGCTCCTCAGCAGGTCTCGGCTGGGCCTGACCCGCCTGTCCGTCGTACTCTTGCTCTGGGTCAGCTTTGGGATCAGGGTGTACTGGACGTGGTAGAGGGGCTCGAATAAATAGAAGACATCAAAGTGCTGATTAAACAGCTGCCCAACAAAGGAGGAGCCGCTGCGGGTGGTGGCGAGGATGAGGACGTGGGTCTTCCTGGAGAGGTTATACGCGAAGGTGGGGCTCTCGTCGCACAGCCTGTCAGCTGCATCCGTGTCCTGGCTCAGGCTGCAGTTCACAGGATTGGGGATGGGGCAGCTGTGGAAAGACTTGGCGGTGAAGGTCCGGATTGCTGTGTATTGGATTGCAATGGATGCCAAGGCTAGTAGGAGGACAGCCTTCCAGGAACATTGCATGGCTGGTCACCTTCATGGAGCTTCTTCGCAGGTCGTCTTGGTGTCTGCAACCCAACAGAGAAGTCATGGGTTCAGCAAGGGCCGCCAAGGACGACTCAGTTATCCTACTGCTGAGTATACCAGCAAATACCCTCCCACGGTGCACACACATCAGCCATAACTATGTGGACCCCGGTCATGCACTGCAGAGCCCCATTTCAGAAGAGAGAAGGACCAGCCAGAGGCTGGCAAGCCTGGAGAGACACTTCCAGCCAGGACTTCAGCCCCAGGGACTGCTTCCATCCAGGCTGCGGGTGTATGCAAACCCTGCGCCCCACAGCTCACCCCATGCCCTGCAGCCCAGGGGGTGTTGGAACCCAGTGGCCACGCTCTGTGTGCCTCTGACCAGCTGCTGTGATCCCTCCTCCCCAGCTGCCCTGTGAGTCACTTGTCACCCCATCAGCCAGTGCCTTCAACACCCAGTGCGGGGAAAGGGCAGGGGGTGGTGCCAAGCACTGCCTGGAGAGGCTCGGCTCCATCCTTCCTGGCCGGCTGGCAGGGCAAGGCATGGCCCATCCAGGCCAACAACCTCCTGCTTGGGAGAGCAGCGATCGCTCTCCTGGAGCTGCAAACCTCTTCACTTAGGGGTCCACCAGCCAGGCCAGCTCAGTTGGTCATCCTCCGGGGACAAGCAGCAGCCTGAGCTCTGCAGCTGGAGCCAGAGCTGTGTCCTAGCTGCCAGCCCCATGTGCCACCCAGTACTGAGCTCGTGGTGCTGGCCAGATCCTGCTCAGCTCTGGGATTCGGGTACCCCTGCTATCCTGAGCACCAGTAGCAATACTGCAAAGAAGGGGGGCATGAGAAACTGCATCCTCTCCGTCCTCTCTTAGCAGCAGCACAGCGGCAGGAGCCCCGGTGGCAGAGATGGGTGCAGGGAGGAAGCAGGGCCATAATTGCACAGGCCAACTTTAGCCTCATGGTGCTAACCCCTGCCCTCCCCAGGCAAGGGTCGGGGAAGCTGAACGGGATGCTGGGATGGGGTGCTCAGAGATGGTTAGGTGAGGAGCACCCTGCCATGCCTGGGGAGCTGTGGCATTGCTGGGAGGGGGGGGTGTAGCCATAGTGGTGCTTCAAAACCTCCCCCCCACCTCTGTTTGCTAACCAAACAACGCTCACGGGCTGCCCTGCTGCTCCCCAAAGCACAGGGCTTTGTAGCTGGGTGCTAACGCTCACGGCCAGCAGGGCTAGGAGGTAGGGGCAGGCAGACTCATCCCAGAAACACCAAACAAGCCAAAACCCCTGTGCAGAGGAGACACCTCAGTATTGGCAATGGCTTTGAAGCTCCCCTTCACCCACTTTCCCTTGCCCACCTTCCTCCCGTGTCCCCTGCCCCAGTGTGGTATCTTCACTTCTGCACGTGCCTCTGCAACCACCCACCCATCCTCCTCAGGCAGAACCAAGGGGACAGACCCAAATATCTCCACTCCCCACCCAGCAGAGCCCTTCCCACAGCATCATTGCCACTGCTGGTTCCTCTTCCCTGCTCCTCTCGTGCTCCCTGCGCGTCCCCAGGGAGAGCACCAAACCAGTCCCAAGCTAGTGGTGAGCTCCTGGCCCCCTGCTCGCCCCCAGCACACCGGCCACTGCGGGTAGGACTGTCAGAGCCACTGCTGTTGCTGGGGGAGGCCGATGGGCCAGCGACAGATTTCAGCGCACGAGGCCTGCTGAAGCCCAGAGCATGCTGAAATCCCTGATGGGCTTGGGACGGCGCAATGCTCCTGGTGTGTTCCCTGCAGAGCCCACGGCAGCTGGCATGGCACACTGTTCCCAACTCCTCAACATGCCCCACTCCCCGGAGAGACCCTGGCACCCAGCGAGTGACAGTGGGAGGGCTGCTCAGACCTGCAGGTGAGTTGAAAACCTCCTTCTTTTGGTTTTTTTTTTTTACATTATTATTTTTATTATTTACCAGTTGCCCCAGCTGCTTGGTGCAGGCAGGAGGCTGCAGGAGCTACCAACTCCAGAGCCCTCTTGTCCAGAGTGGGGTTTTCTGCCCCCCACAATTCAGCGCAGGACCCCAGCACAGGGGCTCCAGCACAGCTGCTGTGCATGGCCATCGCCATGTCTGTGCACCAAGAGCTGTGCTTTAGACCCAAAATGATGCTTTGAACAAGGGTTGCTTTCTCCTGGGCCGCTGCCTGCCAGGGATGTGGCTGGGGACAAAAGTTGCAGGTGCTCGGCTTTCGTTGCTCCTGATCTGGGGTTACCTACCCTGCAGAGGGGAGGCCTGGCCCCAGTGTCCACAGGGGACAGTCTATCCCTTGGATAAAGTGTTTTTCCAGGTCTGCTAGGTCAGGGCAGGACAGGAGGGTCCCTGCTGGCCCCTCCTGGCCCAGGTGGCTTGGGTAAGCTGTCTAGGTGGAAGCTGCAGCGGGAAGGCTTTCCTGCTCCCTAGTGATGGCCAGCCACACTGCATCCTTCACACACACCACCTCAACTTCTACTCCTTGCTGCGCTGCGATGGACGCTGGAGCAGATGTGACTCGGTTCGTTCCAGGATGTGGCAGAAACCTGCTGCCAGCTCCCCTGCAAAAGGTGACCAAAGCCCGGGTGCCAACTTGCTCCCAATTCCTGCCAGATTGCCGGCTGCAAGAGTTTCAGGTTCTCCACCCACCCAGGCCTGCTCCCCTTCGCAATGCACTGAGCTGCAGAGGGGAAGAAATGTGGTGTTGATCACCTCCTTGGCATTGCAGGTGCAGAACTACAGCCCAGCTTCAGCCTCGGCTGCCCCTCATCGTCCTTCGCCTGTGCCCTGCCCACCTGCTGAGCCACAGCCAGGGAGGGGCAGGTTTTGGGAGAAGGCTTCCCTCCCTGATGTCTCATCTGTGGCCTTTAAAGCCAGCCAGAGCCTCCTCTCAGCCCACGCCGGCTCTCCCCCCTCCTCCCATCACTGTCTGTCCCCCAGGGGACATGGTTCCCGCTCAGCCCAGCTGTGGGCTGGGGAGGCAGCAGTGACCGGCAGCTGGAGGTCGCGGGGTCTCCTGGGGCAGCACAAGCACGTGGCACCCAGGAGCTGCCGGCACGGCTGAGGATCGTGGCAACTCACGCTCACCCTCCTTCATCCATCGGGCACCACCAGGCTGGTGTGGAGCAGGAGCCACGCGTGGCTCCGCACGGCTGGGAGCGGGCTGGCTGAGCAGCGGCCGCAGGGGACACGCTGCAGGAGGAGGTCTCCTACACACGCGCAGCGGGATGGCCGCTTGCTCTCCCATCCCTGCTCGGGGGAACCACCTTCTTAAATTGGCCTGTTCCTCTTCAGGCACCGATACCAGGGCCAGCAGCTCGAGGGAGGGCCGTGCCCATGTGGGGCTGTATGTGAGAGTCCTGCGTGAGGCACCGACTGGTTTGGCTACTCAGCCCTAGACCATGGGATGCTGTGACCATGGGAGTCATCCGAAATGCTGGCCTCACAGATGTTTCCATGCTATAAAGTGTTCCCAGAGGAAATCTCCCTCTGCTCTGCCTCCAGCTCAGCTCCACCAAAGACGATGAGAAAATGCAGCCCAAGGGTGGGAGCCGAGTCTGGTAGGTTCCCTGCAGGCAGCTGGGGCTTTGAGATGGAGAGCTGAGGTGGGGGTCAATCACTGGTGCCTTCCAGCCCCCGGCGCTGAGGGGCCTGAGAGAAGGCACGTGGACTCCTTTTTGCACCGTGCTGGGATCACCGCTGCCCCTTCCCTGGCCTGCACCCCTCTCTGGTCACAGTATGCCAGACGCTGCCCCACTGCCTTGCCCGCATCTCCGGCCGGCTGCCTGTGGTCGCATCAGAACCAGGCTGCCCACGAGGGATGCACGGCATCCAGCAACCGGCTCCGAGCGCTGCAGGGGGCCGGCTGGTGCCTGGCACGGGGACAGGAGCGTTGTTTGTGGGAAGAGGAAGGTGCCGAGCCTTTCCTCTCCTCTGCGCCGCTTCCCGCAGCCTTGAGCCCAGAGGAAGCGAGGGGATGGGTGCAGGCAGGGCAGCCTCCCCCCACCCACACCCC